ATTTCGTATGCAATAAGCAGCTCTTTTCAACGTTTGAGATTTTGAAATCTGTTTCTATAGCCTTACCACGAAGATCTATAGGGTGCGAGCTAGGTTGCCTACCAGTTTCCTCCAAAAATCACTTAACACAATAAGGCTTGCGTACCTGTATAATACAGCAGACTCGAACTTCAGTGTCTGTTTGCTGGTTGCTGTTTCCACTTGTCATTATATCGGAGATCATGAAAGTCTAAATTAGCATTTTGAGACAGAAGAGGTGAAAAAGCAGCATAAGAAGGAATGTTAGCGAAATGTGAGGATGTATTTGAATGAGTTGAGAGACAAATAGGTTGAGCAGGCATGCTTTTTGTTAGCAGAGGAAGCGTAAGGAAGGGGCAACAGGAGCAGTGGACAGATGGAGGAGCAGGTAGCTGAGACGCTGAGACACACCAGCTTTTGAATCTGTTTCGTTGTTTCTTTTTGGAGATCGGCCTTCTCACGTCGAATGTTCAGTAGTCGCTTAATGTCAGCAGCACCCTTCTAAACAGAACACACATCACAACACCAAACATGGACTCACAAGGGGCCACCACTGCCCAGCAATATAATAGTGTGAGAAGGAGAACAGAGGACGCGAGGGGAGCGGACGGACACTTGGCACTCAGGAGTGCGCACCTCTCTGTACGGATCGTGGTCTTGCACGTCTTCCACTGAGCGGGACAGACGACGTCGTAACAATCGGCCGTGCCCATGCGATTCTGCAGTCCCGGGAGCGGGGCTCGGTGAGCGCAAGTTTACGTCTGAGTCTGTTTCACGAAGACGTCCACGATACTGCGGTTTCAGTCGAAAAGATTGTCCCAGAGGAACTCCTTTTCTTTCCGGAGTTACTTCCAATACTGGCAGCGACTGAGGTTTTGTTCCACGGTCTTTTGGGGAAGATTGCGGAGAGCAAGTAGTCTGCATTTCAGACTTCATTATTAAATTTGGAGATAAGCATAAAGGTGCACCAACGCTTCGAAGCAGTAATGAAATGGTAATATGAGCGCAAGCGAAAAGCGGAGAT